ATGACTGAGGACACTCTGGGAAGATCTTCAAGGAACAAGTAACAGTAGTTACTTCTAACAGTAGTTACTTGAAGGGGAGGTGGAGGTGTTTGAGGGAATAAGGGATGGAACTCCTGCCTCACCTTTGAAGGTTGGGATGTATTTTCTATTTGGTAACTAAATAAAGTTAAACTGAAGAAAGTGATGCTCCACTTACTCTACCACTCTAATGTTAAATATTTGGCAATGAGATGGTGTCCTCCTTCAAGCTGGTAGCAGGCTAACACAAGCATTAGTCTTACTTCCAGAGCCTATTACTAAGTATCCAGTACTATTATTTAGTCTCTGCCATGCTGAGGAACCATAAGGGAAAAAGTAGGGGTAGAGTAGGGAGCAGAATGGATCTTAGAAAGTTTGGAGGGCCTACCTGCAGCAATAGTACTTGGAAGCAAATTAAAGGAGTAAAATTAATGAGGCAAGCTGTCCTCCAAAATCAGATGGCATTAGATGTTGTAACAGCAGCAGAAGGGGGTACTTGTGTAATTATAAAAGTTGAATGCTGTATGTACATTCCTGATCCTTCTACTTGTATCTCAATAGCTGTTCAAGATATTAGGCGCCAGGTTAATGGCATGTCAGATTGTGAAATTCCCTGGACCTTCTCCTTATGCTCTTTATGGAAAACTATTACTCACTCCTCCTGGTGGAAAGCTTTGTTGACTATATTCATAATTATCCTGCTGATTTTATTTGTCCTATGCATACTTAACTGTTTCTGTCGCCTTGTCTCCTCCAGACTTAAAGCTGTAGGTCTACCCAAGATGAGAACACCTGGTGCCTATTGAGGGACTTTAGATAGTCCCTCTGTGGAGACTGCCAATCATAACTACAACCCTCTTCAGCTGGAAGTAGCTAGATCGGTCTTTGACTGTTGCCCCCTCTTGGCAGTTATGGGTACTTCTTTAGAGGGGAATATTATAGATAACTAAGTTAGATAAAAATATTATAGGTGGTCAGACAGGTCTTGGCTCTTTAGAGGACAATGCAGAAGACAGCTGTGGCTGGAGGCACAGTCACTGAAGATCAGACTTCAAGAAAAAGAACTACTCATCTATACTTCCCCTAAGGATGAACAGCAGTGACTGATATTCTAAGTAGGCATCAATCACCTTGGGGTGGAAGACCAAACCTCCTTAACACACCTCTCCCAGAAAGTCCTTGTCTGCCTATATGTGCTTGCTCTATAACTTATTTCCCCATTTGATCCCCATTTAATCAATATTACCCAAGCGATTATACTTGTTGTATACTTATTGGTTGACCATACTTTTGTCCCACCTTACACCCTTCCTATGATTTGCCATTGGATCAATATTACCTAAGCGACTATATTTGTAATCTTACTGACTACAGTTCTGTCCCACCTTAAATCAGCCTCATTTCATGGTTTTGCTCAATAAAACACCCTTGAGAAGCAGAGTTGGTGGGCAAGCCACTTTCCTGCCCACCTCAGACAGAGGCTTTCTCTCAATAAATTCTTCCTACTCTTAAAAAAATAAAAAGTTCATCTCAAAAAATATTAAATGTCCCTTTAAGAAATACTCACATAGAATTAATGCTTGCATAAGGTTTGTTCCAAACACCCACCAACACTGATGGATTAGAGTTCATTATACCTAAGGGTAGCAGATTTGGGGGTGGGGATTTAGGTAAGAGGTGAATCACCTCCTAGCATGGGAGAGGCCCTGGCTTTGACACCCACCAACACAAACACACACACACGATACAACTGCGGAGTAGAGATGATAATAATGTATCACACATTTCAAAATGCTAGAAAAAGATTTTGAAGGTTTTTATCGTGATAAATGCTTAAGGAGACAAGTATGTTTAACCTGATTTAAACATCCTGCAATTTGATACCCCACTGATGTGTCCAATTTTAATCAGTTAAAAAGTGATAAAATAAAAATAAAGTGGGTCAATTTAAAGTGTTTCCATTTCAAGAGAACCTGGGATTCTCTACTAGTAGGAAGCTCTCAAACACTGGAGAATTTAGCGACCCACTGAAGCCAGCTTAGGAAATTCCCCCTGTGCTCTCCTACAGCCTGCATCAACAGTTAGTATTTACCAAACAAAACAGAAAGAGGGCAAGACGCACACATGGCTCAGTGATAGCGTGGAGTCACTAGGCAGTTGTGAAATGTCCTCTCGTGTGCGTACAAAGAAGGTCAGGCTTACTGGTGACCTTTATCTCCAGAACAGCATTTCTGGACACCCCTATGAGCCACAAGTATTCAATCACAGGGCCTTTAAAAAAAAAAAAAAAGATTGAAAAAGAAATTCCCCCCTGAAAAATCTCCCTCATTCTACAAAAGGAGAAGAAAAAGAAGATGTGTGTGGGGGGAGGCAGAGGAGGGGCAAGAAAGGAGTGGCAAGAAAGGAGTGGCAGAGGAGGGAGGAGAGGAGGAGATGCCCTGCCTTTGGGGCTTTCCCAGCAGTTTCATTGCTGTGGCGCCGAGGTGTGGTTGGTAGCCTGGAGCATCCCTTTACCCCGGGATGCCAGGGCCCAGGGAAGTGGCTGAGGAAGGTGCTTCTCTATTGTCTGCCTATATGTGCTTGCTCTATAACTGCTGGAAGAACTGCCTGGGCTATTTCCCATTTTTCACTCTCCACCTCTGCAGAACAGCTGACTACCAGAGGATATTCCTTTTCAGTCCAGATGAGAAGCCACATTTCACTCTGGCTGTGCTTTCCACACTGTGACACTGGAGACAACCCAGGGCCCCTAATCTTAACCCAATCACAATGCTTCCTTCCACGGGGAGTGTGGTCCACCCAGCTTTTAGTGTGCAATGCATAGGGCTGATCTATCATTGAGCGGGGTTATACTGCACCCATGGGAGAGCAGGGAAGGCGGGAGATGCTCCCCTAGCCTGGCACCTTGGCATCTTGGGAAACCAGGGGCTCTCTGCCTGCCTCCCCTCCACAGCTGACCTCTAAGGTGAGTCTTTAGACTCTGTCTTCTGATGCTTTGGAGGGAAGGAAATACCCTAACTTGACGACACAGAGAAGACTGACAACACAGGCTTTGTTAATGCCTAGTTCACCACTGGGCTGAACCGCTTTGCCCAGTCTTACTCCTGCACACCTGTCCACTGTCCATCCAGCCTAGCATAGAAGCACAGGGCTTCCTCGCCTTAAGTTTTCCTTTGTTTTTTTTTGTTTTCCTCCGGTACCGGGCACCGAACTCCCGACGTTGCGCTTGCCAGGCAGGCGCTTTGCCGCTGAGCTAAATCCCCAGCCCCTAGGTTTTCCTTTGTAAAGATTCCTGCCGTGACCCACGTGGTGGTGTGCTTTCCTCTTGTCAATCTGCTTTGTCCCAGCGGCTTCAGCCACACACCTTCCGTTGGGTGAGAAGATACTGGTTTTCCACTCTTACAACAGGAGAACCATGGAGTTCAGCATAATGCAGGTCCTAGGTAGGGGCAGTTCCATGACTGCAGTTCAGTGCAGGTTTCTTCCTGTGAGCTCTCTCCCTAAATCTGCTGCAGTTTCTGGACTCCAGAAGCACTGGGACTATGTGAGCAAGTCAACTGCACATTTGATTGTCTGTAGTGGAGGACAACCAAGCCGAGCCTGGCCTCCGGAAGGGTGCCTGTCCTGTGAACTGCATCACAACAGGGCCAAAGATTCTGTTTCAGTGCTCTCTGCCCAAGACTGCCTGACCCTCAGGCCTTCATTAGAAGGGCACATTCCAGGGCCAGGCCTCACTCTGCCAGGCTGGGTGAAGGAAAGGCAGGGCTGGTTCTGACACAAGCTCTGCCAGAGCATCAGATGCAACCAAGGAGCTGCTGCTGTGTGGAGCAGGTTCACAGCGTGGCCTCACCTGGGCCACTCCAGGTCAGGAAACACCTGCATGCAAGGTAAGGGCAGGGGCAGGTGTTTGTTGTCTGCCAGAAGCACTAACAGGCCTAGGCCCGGGTCATGCTGTGGTCAGTGGTCCCTGTCCAGGAGACCTGGCCCCTGGGTGCCCTCGGACTTAGCCGACTATAGTGCAGATGGTGTGGGACCAGGAAGCAGCAGCCCTGGGACAGTCAAACCTTTCAGGGACTCTGAGACCTCAGAGGGGAGCAGGTTTCAAATCCAAAAGCATTTTCATACCTTCTGGATTTGACTTACCCTTTGAAGGCCCCTAGAATTTGTCAAGAATGATCTCTACAAAGAAACTCCTCCTGTCACAGGCAGGGCTTTGGGAAGATTTGTGGGTCAGGTGGGGGGAGTGTGTCTAGTTAGAGGTGGGGGGGGGCATGACCTAGACTGCTCACTCTCTCCCCAGCTCCTCCTTTTTCTCTGCTTCCTACTCATCACGATGGGAGTCGTTCCATTATGGCTCAAGTAAGAGTTGGGGTGTGAGCCTGGGTTCCTTGCCCCCATGGCAGAGGTCTCACCTGTAATGGTTGGACGGTGAACCAGGGTAGGAGAACACACCAGCAACCCTGGCCTTGCCTGGCTCATTGAGGCCTACTCTGGCCAAAAAATCCTTATACTGTTTTGTATTTGAGCCTGCCATGGCCTGAAACTGTGGGGTGTTAGATATTGTGTCTTGGGGTGAGAAAAGTGACTAAGACAAGAACTCAGCAGGGAAAAGCGGTGAAAAATGTTGACCTAAATGTAGAAAAGTAATCACTAGTAGATGAGAAGGTGGGGGAGGAGTAGACAAGGGAGGCTGGCTGTGATCGGTGCACACTGTATGCTTGTGCTGAAACATGACACGGAACCCCATTCACATGTACAATGAATACATGTTAACCAAACATAAATTTAAAAATGTTAAAATGAAGCAGAAATTTCATGACCCATCGAAACTATTACTACAGCCACAAGAGCAAGGAAAATGAACCTCCCGCATCTGGGGCAGGGCAGGGCCAGGCCCAAGCAGTTTGCCCTCAGCATCACTGCTATCCCATAGGTGCCTTCCACATGTGCCACCCTCACAACCCACAGGGCGGCCAACCACATGCTCTGCTTCTCTTTATTCGATATGCCAGGTGTGGAGTTTATAAACGAGGCTGGCTGAGTGTGCAGGGTACAGACAGCTTGCCTGTGGGTCAGGTGGTGGGATCTGAAATGCATGGACCTCAATTATATGCGGCACAGAATCAAACTGAAACTACAACCCCATGGTGTCCCAAGTGGATCGTGTAAACAGTTAAATTACTAAGTCATTATTTAGATCAAAATACTTCTATGAAAATGGCATACAAAACATATAAATTACATTTAAAGTCTGTACATGGTTAAAAAAATAACAATACTGTGTTCTGTACAATATTGCTTCCTTCTGAACACTCCGAATGCAACATTTTCCCTCAAATTCCACAAAAGTGGACAAAGTACACATGTCATATAATTAAAACCATTTCCCAAGAGTACAAGGCTGTATTGGTTTCTGGAAAGGCACATTTTGCTTTAACACAGGGAACCCCTTTTCAGAAGCCCCGGTCCTGGGGACTGGTGGGTACAATGTCCTACTCTTCTGTCTTTGGTTGCTAAAGGGAGAATGAGATTGCAGAAACAGAGGCAGTGTAGAGAAAAGAGCTACCCCCCACACACACACCTGAGATCTTAAAACCCAAGGTGCCTCTCCCACATTTCTAAGTACTTGATCCACATACAATATGGAGTGGAGATGCCACATATTTTTTTTTTCTTTTTTGCAAAGCAACTCATTACCAATCTACACCCAGGATAAACGCAGGCAGCATCAAGGTCACAGTGTCCTGCTTCTGAGGAGCTGGTGCTGCTGGGCTCCTGCCCAGCTCAGATGCCACTGGTCAAAATGACCTCAAGCCTGAGAGGGCACAGACAGCAGATAGACAGGAGCAGGGCTTCACAGTCTTAGGTCTCTGGGCTCTTGTGACTGCTGAAAGGTGGCTGAAGTCCTTGTAGATCCCAGCGGGGACTTGTCTCAGGTGTTCTAGGTGCTGTGTGTCCCTCAGGCTTCCAGCTGGACTTGGGTCTCATCCACTTGTAGAGTGTCATTGTCTCCCAGAAGCTCAGTCTCTGGGACAGAGCCTTCCTCTTCCTCTTCCGCTTCCTGTACAGGGCTCTGGGCCACGTCTTCTGGGATGTTTTGTGCGTCCTCGGTGCCCTCAGACAGCAGGGCTGCTCTGTCCGCCACAGATGTGTTGGAGGGAGCTGTGGTTACGTAGCCTGTGCTGGTGGAGCCGCTGCCACTGTGGTGCGAGCTGGGCTTGGGGACTATCTGAGGTGGCACCTGCTGGGGAGCCATCTGCATGGGGATCTGGACTGGGTAGAAGTTGGGCAGGTAGGCCCCGTAGGCCGGCACTGGCTGGTAGCCATTGACAGGAATGTAGAGCTGAGGTGGGGGCACCATGGGTCTGATCTGGCCCTTCATGGGGAGGAACTGGGGCTGTGGGAAGGCTTGCGTCTTCTGCTTGGGCCCTACATAGCGGGCATTGCTCACGTTGCTCACAGGGCTGGTGCTCAGTGAGCTGGTCTGCGTGGTATTGCTGGCCCCTGAGGTCTGCGCGGAGCTATTGTAGTTAGACAGGTTGCCCCATGCCCGGAGCCGGCTATGGATGTCCTTGAAGCGGGGCCTCCGGCTGGGGAACTCATTCCAGCACTCGATCATGAGGGCGTAGATCCAGGCAGGGCAGTCGTCAGGGCAGGGCAGTACCTGGCGGCCACGGATCATCTCCACCACATCCTGGTTGGAGTAGCCACAGTAGGGCTGCAAGCCGTAGCTGAAGACCTCCCACAGCACCACGCCATAGGACCAGATGTCTGAGTCGATGGAGAACTTGCCATAAGTGATTGCTTCGGGGGACATCCAGCGGATGGGCAGCAGTGAGTTCCCCATCAGCTTGTAATAGTCAGCAGAATACACCTCGCGGAAGAGGCCCAGGTCTGAGATCTTCACAGTCAGCTTGTCATATACCAGCACGTTGCGGGTGGCCAGGTCCTTGTGGACCACGTGGTGGCTGGACAAGTATTCCATCCCTGCAGCAATCTGTGCTGCGACATGCACGAAGTCTGGGGGCTCCAAGGCAGACTTCACAGTGCGGTCATCATCAGTGCTGCCCACATCTGAGTGCGGCGAGCGCATGACCAGGAACTCATGGAGGTCACTGTGTGAGCAGTAGCTGAAGATCATGCTGAGGGGCTGGTCCTTGGTCACGACACCCAGCAGACAGACAATGTTGGGGTGCTGCAGCCGGGCCCGCAGCATGGCCTCATGTCGGAACTCCTCCCGGAGGGGCCCTTCTGCTTTGTCCTTCAGCGTCTTGATGGCCACTGCCTGGGTCTGCTCACCCTGGGCGGGCCCAAACAGATGGCCTTTATAGACTTTCCCAAAGCGGTCTTCCCCCAGCTCCTCCATGAATCTCACTGTGGACAAGCTGATCTCCTTGAGTTTGGCCTGCAAGAAGGAAAGCTTCAGGTCAAGCCCTTCCATCACTGCATCCTGGGAAGGAGGCACAGGCAGCTGGGAGGGTCCCCAGGAGGAACACGGGCCTTGTTCTTCCATGGCCGGCTCCGCCCTGCAGAAGTCTCCATTCTGCCCGCCCCAAGCTCCTGTGCTCTGCATACCACACCCTCCCACCTGAAACCTCCCATGGTCCCAACCAGGTTGCTGATTAGGCAGCTCCAAAACATGGCTGGAGCCAGTACTGCAGACTCCTCCTACTGGCATGTGTGCACTGAGTGTGTGTACCTACTCACATTTGCAGACACAGATGAAGCCATGCCTGAGCTCCAGCCATGCCTGAGCTGCAGCTCTCATGGGGTCAACCTGGACTAAAGAGATTTAGTGTTGCCCCACATCACACTGAGACACACTGTTCTTTTCCTATGGACTTCTTGTCTTTCACAATTTTGTCATTTTTAGAACCCAGCCCAGCTGTTCTCCAGAGCCTCCCGCAATGAGCCTGTCCTGTGGCTTCCTCTGGATTAGATTCTCAGCCCAATGCATGTTGGTCAAAGAACCACACAGGTACTATGAACCCCACCCCGGCCCTGGGCCTGCTCCTTCTGTATGGCTCACCCTCCTCCTCGGAGCACCTGGCTGCAGCCCAGGGGGTGAAGGTAGATGTGTGTCCTTCTTGAAAGCCATCTCTGGCCTACAGTGAATACTCACGGACTGCCTGACGGAAGAGCCAACCGGATGAGCCAGCTCTGACCACCTGGAAGTGCCCCTTCGAAGCTGGATGGGAAAGATGTCCCCCGAAGCCTGTAGTGAGTGTGAACTCCCTTCCACAAAAGCTGGAGAGGCTGCAGCTCACTTTTTCACCCACTGCTTCAGGGTCCCCTGCCTGTTTCCCAGCCACCATGAACTCTTAGAATGGGGACAGCTGCCTTTCAAGTCTCTCCTATTTCCATCCAGAAACTATATTCTATCCTTCCCTGAGAAACAAAACAGAGCAAAATCAACCTGACCAGGAGCCAAGTCCTGGGCCTTATGAATACTACAGGAAGCTGCCAACTGTGGGTGGGGCGGGCTGTCCTGTTTTCCGGTGCCGCCTCTGGGCAGAACTCAGACCCCTGACATGTATGGACACCCTGCCAAGCCACAGAAGAGCCTGGCTTTGCCAGAGAAGAGCCCATGATGAATTCCCAATAGGCCTGCCACTCAACTTCTAAGGACACATATCTGGTACATTTTAGAAAAGCAACACCAGAATGGAGGGGAAGTTAAAGAATGACATGTTACAGTCAAGAAAACTCAGACACCTAATGCCACAGATAACCAGTGCCCAGCTTCAGCCTGAGGAGCTGCCTGGGCAGGGCGCGCACAGGGAGACCTGTTTGTGCTGGCTGATGAGCAGCAGCTCCATGTCCTGGCTGGGCGAGGCCATCAGCTGCCGCCGCTGAGGGGTGGACACAGAGGCCTTCTGCTTATTTCGGCACATGCAGACCAAGAAGAACAGGCAAGCGATGACCAAGGGAATTGCAATGCTTGGAACCAGGATGTACAGAATTCCCATCTTGCTGTTGTCTCGGGGACCTGCAAACAACAAGGCTCCTGTGACATTTTGGAAAACATCCTCTAAATTCTCTCCCACCTGCCCACCTTCCTCCTCCAGCCAAAATTTTCCAGCGTTAGTGGATAATCAGACATAGATAGGCAAAATGGCACATGTGACCTAAAAAGAGGGAATGTGCCAAAAAACACATCTTTCTGTACATCTGTCAGACATAACCCAAACCACCCACCACGGGCAAAGACTGCAGCATGCAGCAGGAAGTATGAGTGAGCCCCATTGGTCTTAATACCGATGTGGACCACGTCCTCTATGCTTTCTAGATCCTGGACACACTGGACTAGGCGCTCAGCTCTGGGACATCTAAATCCTTGATGGGTGAATCTTAGTACTGGGATTGGAAATTATCTTTTCCACTTTCAACATTTTGATATTTTTTCACATTTTTGTATAATGATAACATCTTAGGCTAATCATTAAATATGCATTTGATTTAAAAGAGCACAGGGAGGCCATGAGTTTGCCCCATCCCACATGCTGCAGGGGCAGAGTTCTTGAAAAACCAAGCATACTGACTCTAAGGCTTCTTTCTGGCTACCTTTCATTCATTTTTTTCTGCAGTGCAAAGCAATGCTCTGTCTCCCTCTACAGGAATTACAGGAAGGTGCAGAAGGGCACACCAGGGACCAGGCTGACCCCGAGGCAGAGGCTGGGTCTTGGCCACTGGACAGTGCAGGTAGACAGTTGGCTGCTCAGGGCCACTCAGCTCCCACCTTCCTGGTCCTCCCTCTGCTGGCCCTAAACTTCCCAAGCTCTGTGTTTTAAGAGCAGGTGGTGTGACTAGAAGCCGGCCGCTCTTCTGCACATGGCGGAAGCTGGGCTCGCTAGGACACCACTTCTCCGTTTCCCTCGGGAACCCTGGGTCTTCTGTTTTCCCCTTGACCCTGTAAATAATTACACCAGACTCAGAGGACTCTGACTAAGCTCCCATCTGGAAGCAAACAAGTCATTTCTGGCCAGTGTGATCTCCGAAAGAGCGGCTTCCGTCTAAGAATGAGCACTCTAGTGTCAGCCCTGCCTTCCAAAACAAGATGAAAGAAAACCACAGACAAAACTCTTTTCTGTCCCTACTCAGCAACGCCCCTGGGAGGGTCCAGGAAGCAGATGTTCCAGAAGCTTTAGGGAGGTAGAGACCAAACTTGGGGTCATTCCTTGTTTTTAGAGTTGCAGGGAGCTTCCATTTCCTCATGCCAAGGCCAGAACTTGAGCACTGTCCACACAATTACATCAGCCTTTGCTTTATTATCATTTTTTAAAATTATCAACACATGCTTATTTGGAAAAGATTTAGCATTACAGAAATGTGGGATTTAAACAGTGAACATTCCTTCTTTTTTTTTTTTTTATTATTTTTTTTTTACCGTGAACATTCCTAATGACCCTTTTCATCTAAAGCTACCACACTGTGAATAGATTGTTACTCAACTTAGGCTGAACCACATGAAACAACTGATATTTAAGTATCTTGAAATACAGAAACAATAGTTTCATATGTTTTACAATGGGATTTTAAATAAGACTTAATTTTGAAAAGAACTGTGTTATGTATTTCCAGGTCCTAATTTGGGGGCAGAATGAAATATTCTGGACATTTCACAGTCAAACTGACAGATCTGTGGATCTGTTTACAGGGTATACTATTCCCTGAGATGGACATTCTATCCCAGCCAACCTCCTGTTCTTTAGCAGACTGTTTTGTGCTCAGCTCTCACAGGAGATTCGGTAAGAAATATCCTCCTATTTCTGCCTTGTATGTGCAAGTATTTCTGCATAATAAAATTCCAGGAATTGCCAGGTCTAAGAACATACATATTTTTCTGCTTTGATTTATTTTTTTATTACAAAATAACCAGCTGCTCGTTAAATTATATTTTAACTCTTCTGTGGGTCAGGGGAAGTCCCTGTTAAAAGTTTGGTGAGCATCTTTCCAAAACTTTACCATAAAAATAAATGTCTGTGTGCAGTCACACACATACTGCTACTCACTTTGTTTTCTTTTATCAAAGCAAACTAAAACAATAAAAAAGTGACACCAACATAACTTTTGCCCTACAACCTGATTTTTTCCCTAGCAGGTACCATGGACCTCCTTCCTAGCAGGAAATAGTTTTATTTTATTTATTTAGAGGCAGGGTCTCGCTATGTGGCCCAGGCTGGTCTTAAACTACCGCGGTCTTCCTGCCTCAGCCTCTAAGTGCTGGGATTACAGGCATGGGTCACAATGTCTAGCTAGGAAATATTTTTAGAGGGCTGTCATGCTCTAGAGGAGCTAGATGACAATTTAACTCCCAACATTCTTAAAGGGATGTGTGTGTGTGTGTGTGTGTGTGTGTGTGTGTGTGTGTTTAAAGGCAACATCAAATTTGGAACTGCCAAATTATACTTCGAGAGGGTTGATGAATAAATACTCATGTGTGTTGCCTGCCAGCAGGGTTGGGCACACATGGGCCTCACCCCACCAGGAGACGTGCAGGGTCGGGGGCCTGGATTCCCTTCACTATCGGTGTCTCCTATTGCTGGCCTCTTAGTCCCAGCTGAGTCTCCATTACCCACCAACAGGAGCTGCTGACAGGGATGTGGCTGAACTCAGAGGCAATAACTGCTCAAGTTTTCAACCCTAACTACAAATTTTCCTATGCATGACATCACAGACATCCATAGGGAATGCTATGAGATGTGACTCCTAATTTCTCCTCACTCTGCCAGATCTGCAGATAAAAGCTAAAAAGCAGTGAAAAGCTCAGAAGCTGGGGGGCAAGGGGAGAGATCCACGAATATTGGGAGGCACCGGGCAGTAATGTGCATGGAGGAACAAAGAAGCCAGGTTAGACATCCCAGGGCCTACAAAGGAAAAGGGCCAAGGTGCAGGCAGCAGGCACCGATGGATGGTGAACTTGCACAACAATCTTTAGACTTTTCTGTATTTTAAGACCCTTATAACGATCTGATATTACTTTCATAACCAGCAACAGTTTTATTTAAAACAAGCAATCATAAAGGTAAGATGGGGGCCCTAGGGTTCCCAGCATCCCAGGCCCAGACAAAATGCTCTTATCAAAGGCCAACTCAACAGTCAACATGAAAAAAAAAGAGAGAATACATACTACAGGAGGGTACGTCACACAGTTCCATGCGTACGTTTTTATTCTGCGTAAAGCACCAGGGACCTTCCATCTGGCCTCCGGGGTTCCGACAGTATGCGTGGCCCCCTCCGAGCTCGGGGAAGTCCACGCTGGACAGCTGGTGGCCGTGGGGGTGCTGCATAGCCCACGGCTGGCACTGGTGCCCCGACCTGGTGGTGCTGGCTGTGCCTCTGTAATCCAAGCCGGAGCCATTGTAGCACTGGTGGTCTGGAGAAACAGGCACGTTAGGAGGCCCGAACACAGGGGATGGGGCCCACGCGGGGTTAAGGGCTCACCTCCCTAGAGTACTCCACAGCAAAACCACAAAAACACTTTTCCCACATGTACCCAAGACTGAACTTCCAAACAACCAAAGGGCTCTCTATAATGTCTAAGAAAAGCAGCATTAAAGATAATGACTTAAACTCGCAAGCCTACAAGTGCAACTGAGGGCTCAGTAGGAGGAACCTGTCCAAAGTCACCCTTGGCCCTGGAACTCCCACGGCATCCAGCAGACACTGCACTCCACTGCCCGAGCCAGGACAGGACGCCAGCACCACCACCCTTGTACTCACTGGCTCTGGAAACAAAATCGAACTGCACAAGCAGTAAGGGCTAGCCTAGGCTGAGCCCAATGGGGGTGGAGGCTACCTCCACCCCTCCAAGTGGGGAGCCCAGCTCAGCCACCACCACACCACCCCTGGGGAGCCCAGGGTAGAGGATGCACATTTGCTGGACAATTACATTGTTTACCCTGTGAGCGGTTCCAACCCTTGTCTAATTATTAACTTGCTTAATCTTCATTCCAACTTGACAAGGTCAGTCCTGTTATTATCCCCATGGAATATGAGAAAATGGGAGTTTAACCAACTTTCTCAGGGTCAAGATGTCAGCCAGAATTTAGGCCAGGCAGGAACCTGGCCAGGTAAGGAGCCCTGCCCAAGCAGGAAGCCCCAGATCAGCTGCCAAAGCAAAATATAGCTGGAGCCTGTTAAGAACGTGGCATCAGCCCAGGTCTCAGTCCTCAAGGGGCTGACCCTGAATGAGCAATTTTCCTCAAACATGTCCTGTGACTTCTTCCCGGACTGGCCTCAGCTCATGCTGCTGGGACAGGGCAGTGAGCATATCTTCTGTCTTTTGGAGACCCTGAAATGGTCATTCCCAGGCCTCAGCTCAGGAGAAGGAAGTGCCCATGTGCCTTCTGAGGTCCCATGTTGCAGGGCCTGGTGTCTGGAGGTGGGGATCTCGTAGATCTCTGCTGGTGTGGGCGGCTCTAAGTCCTAACTCCTCAGCTGCGTGGTGTCTCAGACTCAAGCTACAAAGCTAGGGATCTTTTGGGCTCCCAGAGACAGTACCCAGAGGTGTAGGACAAGCTGGGAGTCTGCATTTCCCCAAAGGCATGGGTACTTGCGAACCATGAGACAGTCTGGGGTGCTGGCCCATCCCCTTCCTGCACCCAGCACCTTTCTGCAACAGGAACTCAGATTCCCCCATTTTGGAGATGCAGAATCCCAGGGTCAGGATTTTTAAAGGCAGAGGGTCTGAAAGGCTCCCAAGCCCCTTCCTCCGCCCCCATGCGTTGCCTGTGAGAGGAGCCAGGGGGTTTCCAGAGCCCGCATCCCTCTCCCTGGTCCTGGCCCAGCAGCACTCACAGCGGCCCAGCCTCTCCACCGGGATGCCGATGCGCATGCAGTTGGCGGCGTCCGGGCTCTCAGGCATCGGTAGCGCCTCGCACTTGGGCAGCTGCAGCCGCATGAGGATGAGCGGGTTGGAGCGCGCGATGCTGTACTCCTGGCGGCAGAGGTCGCTCTCCAGTACCTCGCACTCGTCGCGGCACAGCTCTCGAGGCTTGGGTGCCCGGGAGCGGGAGTCGCACAGCGGGAACACGAAGTGGCAGAAGGACGGGATGGCGAACTGGGAGCACTGGTCCGACAAGTGCGTGGAGGTGCCGATCATGGTGAAGGCCGCTGCGGAGGAAAACCAGTCGTGCCTGAGTGGAGGGCCAGTCCATACCTCCAAGCCCCATCCTTCTCTGCGTTCCTGACCTGGTCTCTGCCTTCTTGGCCGGTGCCCACCTTCAAGCTGAAAACTGACTCCTCCCCAGCTCCCTACTTTAGTCCTCTAAACCACCCTGCACTCCCAAGCTGGAGACGGTACCCTTTCAGAAACCCTGCTGCAGACCTTCCACTCCGGCCCCTCCCACCTCGGCCCTTCCCACCTAGACTCCTCCCGTCTGGACTCTCCCTCTCGGACTCCTCCCAGTCAGACCCCTCCCACCCAGGCTCCTCCCACTCACCCCTCCTAAGCCTGAGCAGAGCTCAGCAGTAACCACACTCCCCACCCACAGGCCCCAACCCTGATGCCACCATACCCCAACTCAGCACTCTCAGCCCAGCCCTCACGCGTTCCCCTACCCGCGAGCCCTGGACACGGCCCCACACTTCTAACTCCCTCTACTCAGCCCTACACACCCTGCTGGGTGCCCTCCTCAGGACAGGGCCAGGACACCCATCATTTTCTCTGATCATCATCAGCAGCCTCTGGCCCCAGGAGTTTCCTTACAAACTTCCTAAAACAGGAAAGAAGAAAAACCAGGCCCAGGACCTCCCCGCCTCAGCTGGCCCCACCTCTCCAGTGAGAAGGCTCCAACTTCAGACCCAAAAGCCCCAGGGACCCTTTAGGAGTGGGTTTTCTGTGGGCACAGGAATGCAGAGCCTGGGGCCAGATGGCTTCCAGCTGACAGTGCAGGGCCAAAGCAGCCCTGTGTCCACTTCACAGGCCATCCAGGAGCCCCATGGGACACAAGGAAGGTGTTCAGGGGAGGGGACCCTGCTCTGAGATGCGTGGGGGGCAGTGTGACCAAGCAGGGAGGGCAGCATTACAACTGATGACTTGTGTGATAGAGGGGAGCAAGAAACCGGCAGTGGCAGGAGGCGTTTGAGCCCCGGCGTCAGAGGGTGGAGCATGCTGGGGACACCCCAGGGGATGGGGCCCTGCGGCGTGGCTGGATGCACACAGCAGGGAAGAAGGCACTGGCTGAAGAAGGCACTGGCGGGCCCTGACCACCACCCTGCTTCTGCTTCTGGAGGCCCAGCTAGAGAGGCCCTGGGGCTGCCCAGCTCCACCCACAACTTGAATGCACTGAGCCAAGTACAGCCAGCAGGTGGCCCTGTGGGGACCCGTCCGGGCACGCATCATAGTGAGAGCTGGTCACTCAGCCTTTCTGGGTCTGTTCCTTTCTCTGCAAGTGATTCGTTGAGCCTGAATGCTGAGGAATTAAAAGTTCCCACAGTGCCAGTAGAATGGGCCGGCACAGGGGTCCGGTAGCCAGCTGGCCGGGAGTGTGGACAGCCTGAGCGCTGCTGGCCCCGCGCTCCCTGAGCATCACTCGAAGTGCTCTGTTCGCAGCCTCCTTCAGCTCTCAGGTTCATTTTAGGGAGTCCTGACACTGAGGGTAGGAGGCTAGGCACAGGACATTTGGGACTGGGTGGAAGAATAGTGATTTGAGCCTCTGGCAATTAAGGGAAGGCTGTCAGAAAGGCAGGTGTTGACTTCAGGAAGACAAACTCAGCTGTGATAGTTGACTGTGTTGACTTGAGCAAGAAAAGCTCAGCTAAACTGGGTCAGCATAGTCCTGGGAATGGAAGACCCATTCTTGGGAGGACTGTCACCAGAATGGTATAAAAGGGAAAAGAAGGAAGCCTTGTTTCTGTTTCTTCGGAGGAACTCAGCATTTGCCTTCAGCTTGGACGTCATCTCCTGGCTCCCAGTGCAGACTCTTTGGCCTCCTCATAGGGACTAGCAGGTGACACTGCACTGAGACCCAGGCCTTCAACTGGATCCTTCTGATCCCCAGCATGCAGCCCTGACTCTGGATGGCCACTGTAAGCCAAGTTATAAATTCTTATATATTTGTATGTCTTGCATCACATCTGTTTCTTTAGTAAGCACTAATGGATACATCAGCCTTTCTCGTGAGGTAATCAACCGAGAAGATGCCACAGCTGATCATCATAGGATTCCTCTTCCTCCTTCAAATTTATCACTCCTGAACAGAGGGTTCTAGCCACCTACACCCTACAACCCATATCCTTGTCTTCATCCTTACCCTCAATGTCATGTGACTTCTCCAAACAGGACACTATCAAACCAAAGCAGTCTTTACTCTTATGTGCAGACCAGAACTCAAGTCAGTCTAGAGTAACTTCATATTTATTGGGGAGGGGGATGTTTCCTGTGAGATACTCAGCCAGGTGCTTGCCTAGCATGACCAAGTTCCTGGGTTCCAGTCCCAGTACCACATAAAGACATAAATAATAAATAAGCCTCAGATTTATAGAACCCTCATTCTAACATTTTCTTTCAAAACCACTATAAAATCAGGCTGCTTGGATATCTCAGTTGTTTGATCCTTTAAACATTGCTAAAGAAATAACTGAGGGCCAGTCTCTCGGCTGGGATCAGTGTTTGCCGGGTAGCAGGACGGCAAGTTCATTCTGGAGTCTGTGGCTGGCATTTTAAAGGATGCTGAGAACAGACTCAAGCACGCTGGAGTGCATGGCTTGTAATAAGGGCTGTAACTTTTTCTTCAATGAAAGAGAACTGAAAAGAAAAATCAGGTGTGATGCTTTTCGGGGTGAGCATTATTCTTCTGACCCATTTTGGTTCTGGAAACACAAGACCATGTACACAGGCTGAGTCCCCTTATCTGAACTGCCTGGGGTAAGAAGTATTCTGTTTTAGGGACATTTTCAGATTGTGGAATATTTGCACATCTATAATGAAGTGTCATGGTGGGGACCACATCTAAACACAAAATTCATTTATGTCTTATATACCTCATACACAGAGCCTGAAGTAATTTTATAAACTATTTTCAAATAGTTTTGAAATGAAGTTGTGTACACCAAATCACAAGGTTCCATTTATGGCATCAGGTCAGTACTTAAAAAGTTTCAGATTTTGGATTTCAAATTTTTCAGACTAGGGATGCTCAATGCTCACCCTATATTAAGTGATGACATGAGGTATATATTTTTTGTGCTTTTTACTGCAATGTTGGGGTCCAAAATGTTTAAGAAATTCTGCTCATGGCAAAAAAAAAAAAAAAAAAAAAAAATCTTTTTCTGATGAGAGTGAGTAACATCTTCAAAACAGGGTCCTGGTGGGCCAGGGTGGCAACTCAAGTTCCTGTGGCTCGTCACTGCCCTCCCACTTCTCACCAGACCTGGGCACTGGCCACAGAGAGTGCTATGTCAGCACAGGCTAGACAGGCCCTTCAGTGACCCAGTGCAAGGGTGAGCTGAGCTTAGAGGGTCATGCCAGTGACACGAAGGACCCTCACTCCAACCTGACCAGGGCAGGGGCAGTGCTCCATAGGCCTCTGCCCTAGCCACTTCTGCCAGGGAGCCTTGGCATGAAGATTACCACCAGTGCCACATATAGCCAGGGCCAAGAGCCACCAAGGGAGAACCCAACTAAACTGAGGCACTGGGGCACCTGCCATCTTCAGGAAGGCCTGTTTTTTCTTGTTCCTTATGGGATCTGGGAAGAAAAATGTTTGTGGTGAGGGTAGGGACAGGAGGAAGAGGATGAGGACTTTGTAGCACTCTGGTCTGATTCACTTTTCACTTCCCAGAGGCTTTTCACCAAGGAACATCCCACGAATGTGTACAGATTGGTTTGCTGAGCCAACATGAGCAGTTAATTCCTGAAGTGCCTGAGGATGAGCACTCCATTTTCTAAGTGACCTGCCATGTTTCTCAGACCTCAAGCCAGGTATCCAAAGCCCTGGCTCTGTTCCCTGGACACCAAGGGCTGACAGTCTGCATTTACCACAGCGTCTCCGATGCCAATGATGGAAATCAAGTCTGACTTCCTTTGGGCCAAACGTGGCTCTCTGAAAGAGTCCAAGAGTCAGGAAATGCAGGACAGAAGTCAAGCTGAGCGATGGTGGCCATGCCAGGAAAGGAGCCCACAGGATGCAGTGGGGACTATGAGTGAGGGTGGTTCTTCAGACCCACAGTTCGGCCAAGGCCAGAGCATAGAAGTGTGTTCTGAGCAGCCTGCTCTTGGTAATTCTCATGGCCAGGATGGGGCTGTGGTTGGGGAGTTCCTGAGATGGGGCCTAGCTCTGAGTGTGGCGATGTTAAGAGGTGGTGGGCCTAGTGGGAGATTGTTAGATTGTTCTCATGAGACCTGGTTAGCTCTTGTAAGGAGATTGTTACAAAAGATGAGCTGGGGCCCTCTTGAGCTCCTCCAGCCTCCTGTCCTGCCAAGTAATCTCTCTTCCTCATACATGCTCCACCATGATGTGGTGGAGCCAGGGGGCCTCACCAGAACAGGTGCCATGCTCTTTGGACTTTCTAAAACTGTGGCTTTAACAAACTTCTAGCCCCAGGTATTTTGTTATAGTAACAGAAAAGGGACTATTACACTCATTGAAACATATAAATTAGAAATATTTTAGGGCAAATCACATTAGCAAGGGCAACTGCTTCTGACCAAGTTCTCTGATTTCCTACTGCAAGCAAGATGGACAAGAAATTTGCTGTCTGTGGCACTAACTGATGAACCGCCCAAGAGGGGATTGTCTGTGTAGACAGGAGCCTGCACATGTACTTGTGGTCTCTCAAGAAAAGTGACTGTAGCTCCCACCTGTGATTCGATTCTCAATCTCCCCTTGCATCTGGAGAGAGTCCACATAAATAGTTCGGTTTCCAATGAAGCGTGCACAGGCAATTCCCCGGTAAGGCTGGCAGAATCCATCTTCCTGGTAGTCATCCCTGGTAAAAACACAGTCTATAAGTGTGCTTGGAAGTGCCATGCCTTCTGATGATTTTTTTATCCAGCATTTTACAATTCAACCATTTTGTTACTTGGTATTTATCCAAATATGCTGAAAACTCAAGTCTACACAGAAACCTGCGTGGAGGTTTACACACAGAGGTACACACAGAGGTTTACACAGCAGCTTTGTTTGCAATGCCAAAACTTGGGGGAACCAAGATGTATTTCAGTAGCCAAATGAATAAACAAAGTGTGATACATGCAGACAATGGCCTATATTCAGCACTGACAAGAAATGAGGTATCAAGTCACAAAAAGACAAGGAGAAAATCTCTGCACATTACCATCTGGAAAGGCGAAGTGCTCTGATTCCAACTGGGTAACACTATGGAAAAGGCAAATAATGGAGACAGTGAAAAGGTCAAAGGTTACCAGTGACACAGGGTAAGGATAAATAAGAAGAGTACAGAAGAGTTTTAGGACAGGGAAACTACTATGAATGATACCAGAGCGGTGGATATGTTCAGTATACATTGGTCAAAACCCATAGATATACCACAGAGTGAACTCAAATGTAGCTTCTGGAATATAGCTCACAATAATTCTCAGTATTAGCTCATTAATTATGATTTAATAGGAGAGTAAGAGGAAAGTATAGGGAACTTTAAAATTCTCTGTTCAGTTTTCCTGCAAACCTAAAACTCTCTAAAAAGAGTCCGTTGAAAAAATGATTTTAAATGTACATTTAAGGCACAGAAGGACTCTTTCTTTACAGGTGAAGATGAGTTGCCAAGGTGCCCAGCATGTACACATGAACAGATAGTTGTTACATGTGTGCACCTAACATACACAACACCAAACCTGAGACCTTTCTTCTCACCCTTGAGTTGACACCAGAGACAACACAATGTGTCTCTGCAAACCTCCCTCACTGATAAACAAGGCTTTCATGAGGATGATAATAATCCATAAGGTGCATTCTATCATTACATCCTCATAGGAGAGAAATCTTTGAAAAGGAGAACAGCAACATACAATGTATCTTTCACCACATTCAAAGGCAACAGAGAAATTCCAGAAACTCTGGCCCTCACGAACTTGCAAGCTGAGATGCATATTTATGACATGTGGAGATATGAACTGGCTTCCAAGGTTAGCCGGGAGCATGTGTGACACACAGTGGGGGTCTGAAAGGGGATCATGATAGCAGGCTGTTCTCTTGTCTTGCAGTCCAGGTTTCCCAGTCCTGTGGGAACAGCCTGCACTGATAGGAAAGGGACCTGACCCTCCCCCAAGTCCCCAGCTAAAGCTATGCTAAAATGTCTCTCTACAGAGCATGCCAGTTTGTTTTCACCCAGTGAAACCCACCTCTACAAGTCCCAGCTGCACTGCACAGTGGCACTTGGGACCCTCAAAGGAGATGGAGCCAGCAGTCAGTACTGCCGCTTGCTGGGTAGAGTGAAGGCACGGGGCTCCTGGGATGGCCTTCACGGGTTCCCTCGAGCCCTTAACTCAGTAGCTTCTTTTCTATCGAGTCTGGAGCTGATCCTATGAGTGAGAACACTTGTCTTGTGTCACCCACAGATGGAGACCGTACATAAGGACATATGGGTGGTGTTCAGTTTACCCAAATGGACTTAAGCTCCCCGTCAAAGCTGTCGCAAAGGCTGGTCACTTGCAACAGACAAAGGATCCCTCTGTGAGTCTCTCTTTTGTGTTTCCCCCTCCACTGTCTTCTCAAGTCCCTGAAGAAAGATCCTTTTTCAAAGAAAACAATCTGCAGCCATCAATAACCTAATTAAGGAGACTTGGTATCAGTGTGAGAGGGAAGCCCTTCTGTCAGGCTCACTGTCCATTATTTCTTTGGGGTCCTTAAATGGAGTTAAAAATGGGTAAGCATAGTGTGAGCCCCATCGGCACCCCCTTCACCTTCTCTGGGCCAAAAGCACCAGCGTGGATGATGTGCCTATACCCCAGCACACATGGCTGGGTCACTGTGCCAGAAAAGTCACTGAGATGCACGTGGCTGGATCACAGCGCATGCACTGTGGCCAGAGCGCAAGACTCTGTTCACTTGGAAGAACCCACAGGGAGCGATTTCTCCTCTTCCCTGCCAGAACCGGGGGAACAGACAGCGAAGCCTGGTTGCAGGGTGCTCCCCAGGCACTGCTAGGAGCCACAGGGTAGACACAGCAGTGGGTGAGGACAGCTGGCCCAGGTAACTGAGAAGGGGCTCACGCCTTGGCCCTGATGCCCTCTTCCCTGAGGGCTTCCAGCCTGAATTCTAGAAAATATGTACAACACTGAACAGGACTAGTGGAAAGATGTCCTCTCGGGTATTTGAGCTTTAAGAACACAAGTGGGAATTACTTTCTACTTCTGAACACAACTGTGTTTTATCTTTCACTGGCATAGTTTGGGACTGCCGAAGAGTAACAGAACTGGAAAAGTCTATAAAATGGGTCACTTGAAGACCAAGGAAAGGGCTGTGACACAATCTGGCATCTATAAATTCTATAAATAGCCTAAGTGAGGGGGACCTGTTTACTAAGTGGTAGAATAACAGTGTCACAGAAATTTAACTCGAAAACCCCCACCCTCTCAACTCCTGCATCAGGACATCACACTGAGGAGGGAAGAGGTAGATAACTACAGCTGTCATTAAGAAGACGCAACAGGAGCAGGAAGGAGGCTGGGGTGGGGGCAGGAAGGAACCGTGTGCTGCAGTAGAAAGCACTCCTCCACCACCTCCCCAGCACACGCATGCTGAAAACAAAAGTCAACAGATGACACGCTTGGATCAATTCATGGAGAGAAATAATGAATAGGATTTAAGGGAAACAAAGGCTCTTTTGAAACTGAAAACTAATCAGTGTCAATATTCAAATGTAGTTATACATTGTATAGGAAATTAAACATTTTTTCCACAGAGCAGTTTTTTTGTTGTTAAAAAGCAGTAAGATAATTTTCATAATTGTTCTTCTTTTGAGGGAGTCCAGCCATAATAAACAGGCTGCCCCCTTGAGCAAAGCAGAAGGTGCGAGACCTTCCACAGAGTAGGAGGCAAAAGCACAAGAGCAAGTAACAAAGCTGAAAAAGCTGTAACTGCATAAGCTCAAGGGATTTGATTGTGATCCAGTGTATTGTGGTTACAGACCTTGCCATCCTCCACAGACAGATAACAATGTCCTGAGCACGTGCCACAGTGAAGGGGAAAGACCCACAACTATAGTGGAAAATGTAGTATTTACCCCCTAGAAATCAGTGAAACTAAATGAAACAATTAGTGAAGAAACTGAAGAGCAGACAAACCCTGGGCGTCACTCTGCCCCAGGGGACATCTGTAGGACAGCATCCCCAACCAGGGGTGTGTCCCTACTTATCCCTGCAGCATGCAGGGACATGGTCGAGACTCTTCTAGGAAAACAGAAAACCCAACAGATATTAAGGAGACAATTTAAAAAACTTGAACACTAAGGGCAGTGTACCCTGTGAAGCTACTGTTATGCAAGACAATAGCCTCAGTCTTAGAAAATAAACACTAAAATATTAAAGGGCGTCTTTTATTTACTGTGAGGTTTAAGGAGAGCTCTGGAAACAGAGCCTATCGTAACAAGTTGGTACTGAGAAAAAAGAGCTTGGCTCTGCTTTTCCTTTAGGATGTATTGGATTGAGTTAAACTTGACAGGGTTGATGGTGTCATGGCTTTAACGTGAATCAAATGCTCAATCAGCCTTTAGCCCAAGTGTGTTCACTTACCGACAGCAAGGAAGTATGGTTTTTCCTGAAGTCACTTTTAATTACTGGCTTATTGGGTGTCAGTTTCACTGGTTTTCTCTAATGTTATTTTCCAGTAATTAGAATACAGTTTGAACTAGATTTAGAGCAACTCCTTCAAAATAGCAATGGAAGGACTAGAACGTAGAAGACACCCATCTCCCTTTACTCGGGCTCACCGGTGGTGCCACGTCTTCCGTGGTTCACCATATGAGTATGTGGACAGAGAGAAGAGGCGGACTTGGAATTGGAGATTTCAGGTTTGTCAAGATTATGGGAGAATGGTGCTAGTCTTGGAATTACCCAGTGTTAAGTCAGAAAATATGAGGGCTCTCACATGGTGCTGAGAAATGTCATTTCACACAGGGAAAAAATTAATATTCAATTATTCAAAAGAATAACATGTTTTCCTGACCCAGCATGGTATGCATGCACACGCTTGTGGGCCATAGGCTTGGCAGGGAGACACAGGGTGAGGAGGGATCTGATGCTGAACCTCCAGGGAGCACCCACCCTGCCATGCTGCCCCGCCCAGTCCAGCCCAGCCCAGCCTGGCCCAGTGTGCTGCACACATGGTCAGCCCTCAGTAGTGAAATGGAGGCATCTGTAATTCCAAGGAGCAGAAACAAAACAAACCCCACATATGAAATGTGAGACCGTAGCCTGGCATTAATCCCTTGGACACAGCCCAAGCTGCAGCCTGAAGGGGACAATAATTATCTCTGGGCCTGCACTAGCAGGGAAACACCCTCTCTGGACATGCCCTCTGCTGAACACAGACGAGGGAAAACCCTGATGTGATGACTCTCAGTCCTTTGCCTCCTGGGACACCGAGCCACGCTGATGTCACAGAGACCACCAGCACCTGAGTATATGGACCTGCCGAGGCAGGAGGCAGGGAAGGACATTCCTGTCACTGTGTCAGCTCTACATTTGCATGAGCAGGACACGCCACCTGACAAGGACCCAATAGGGGCTGCGTGTGTTGCTGAGTAGCGCAATGGGTTGAGGGCAGGAGTCACTGAGCACTTAGACTGGGTATCCCAGGAACACAGCCCTCAGGGATGGTTCACTGTTGTTAGCTCACTTTGCTCTTTTGTCTTTATTTGCATTGACTTTGAGAGACATCATTAATGTGTCATGAAATAGAATCATAACAGGAGAAAGAAAAGTCACATCACAGAAAGAGGACACAATGGGATGGGCCTCAGACTACAAG